CTCGCTGGCCCCGTCGTCCCGGTGGAGGCTCAGACTCCTCGGTCCAGGCGGGCAGGGCAGAATCGCCCCCCTTTGCTGCAGGGTGCACAGGTGGCTGGGTATGTTGTGGGCCATTGACGTCTCAGGCACTGGGCAGGACAAGGTCTAACTAGAGAGCCCCAAACGCACCTTGGGGGGCCAGCTGCTGGGGGGGGAGCTGGAAGGTGGCGCCCCACCGGAGATGGGGTGAGGGAGGAGAAAGGGAGCGTCGGGCTGCTCCTGGCGGGTGTTAGAGCCGACAAACCTGGCTGCATCCCAACCTCGGCGCCCTCCACAGCCGCATGCTCCTGGTCCACTTCCAGATGTCCAGCGCCCCCGATGTGGGGGGCTGTGTGGATCTGGCGGGTTTGTTCAGCATGCCACAGTCAAAGGAGCCATTGGAGGTCGGCCTGCAGACCCCTCCCCCCATTCCCGGGGGCTGGGCTGTGGCTCATTGTGAAGCCGGGAGACTTTCTGGCACCCCGACACGTGAGCGTGGGGCTCTAAGCTCAGGCCCGTCTCTGCTTGATCCTGACGGGGGTTCTTCCCCCCTTTCCCCTCCCCCCTGTGCCTGAGCAGCCAGGGACCTGCCAGCCCTAGGACGCTGGGGAGATCGGCTGGGGGGGGAAAGACGCTCCCCCCGTGAGAGCTGGCTTGGCCCTCTGACGTGTTTCCCTTTCCCGCTTCAGAGATAACCGACATCATGGCCACCTCCCGCAGCTACCAAAAGCTGCTCTACGCCTGGGAGGGCTGGCACAGCGCCGCCGGGAACCCCCTGAGGCCCAAGTACAAGGCGTTTGTGGCGCTGAGCAACGAGGCCTACAGGATGGACGGTAAGAGGGGCCTGGAGCCTCGAGTCGGGTCCCCTGCTATTGCAGGTGTCCCAGTCGCGACGGGGCTGTGTGTGGAAAAGCTTCCCAAAGCAGCCCCAACGTAGCCACGCCAGTGAGGGACAAGCACCCTCATGCTTCAGGGCATGAGCTGATCACTACCGGGGGTCAGGAACTTCTCCTCCCTGCACGCCCCCCCATCCGCGGTGCTGCATTGCAGGGAATGCGTTGAGGGGCGGCGCCTCTCGCCCGGGTGCACAACCGGCGCCCCTGGCACCCTGCTGCTGAAAGCGAGGAGAGCGCTGAGTTGCCCCTTCCCACGCCACAGCTGACACCAGGTGGCACAGGCGGCAGGATGAAAGGAACCTCGAGGATGGTGCTAACACAGCCAAGCAGGGTCATGGCCACGCCCCCTTCCCCTCTGGCCACGCCCCCTTTCCCCTCTGGCCACGCCCCTGATCAGTAGGACATGGGGGCTGAGCAGGGATGCAGTGCTGGCTCTGCACCAGCTGAGGATTTCCCCCATGCCCCCAGCCTTGCATCTCACCTGGAGGGCTGGGCGTCTCTACCCATTGGGTCAGCAGGCATCCCTGCTCCCCCATGGCCACGCCCCCTTCCCCTCTGGCCACGCCCCCTTTCCCCTCTGGCCACGCCCCTGATCAGTAGGACATGGGGGCTGAGCAGGGATGCAGTGCTGGCTCTGCACCAGCTGAGGATTTCCCCCATGCCCCCAGCCTTGCATCTCACCTGGAGGGCTGGGCGTCTCTACCCATTGGGTCAGCAGGCATCCCTGCTCCCCCGGGATAATTCTGGGTAGAAAGGCCAGGACTCAGCAGTTCACCGCGGCGGGCGCCGTGCTCTCCGTTGCCAGGTTTCAAGGACACCGGCGCTTACTGGCGCTCCTGGTACGACTCGCCCACTTTCGAGGACGATCTGGAGCAGCTGTACCACCAGCTGGAGCCCCTCTACCTGAACCTGCACGCCTTCGTCCGGAGGAAGCTGTATGAACGCTACGGCCCCAAGTTCATCAACCTCCAGGGCCCCATCCCTGCTCACTTACTGGGTAAGTGGGCCAAAGGCGAGGGCAGTAGCTGTCTCGGGAGGCTCTGCAGATCTGGGGGGGCTGACGGTGTGCTAAGGGAACAGGGCAGACGCGAGGGGGGGCGGGGAGCGAGACGGGTTTGGGGAGGGGGAGG